CTGAAGTGCAGGCAGCCTGAGTTGCCTGCCTCGAGGGATCCAGGACAAACTGATTGAAAGTGAGCCAGTCCTCCATGCTGAGAACAAGTACCATCAAGTGCTTTGTTCAATGTCTAATGAAGATAGAGCAGTTTAAGCTTTAAGCTGTTCTTCGCGCTTGTTTCAATATGAGATCATCTTTCTCAAATACGGTCAGCCCCAGATAGCACAATGTATTTCAGAAAAGGCTTATTAGACCCTTATACAATAGCATTTTCATTATTTCTCCTTACTTTAAATGCCTCCTGACACATCCTAGGGTCACGCTTGCCTTTCTCATCACCACGTTACATTCATGATTCATAGTCATTCTGTGACCAACTGCTGCACACAGGTTTTTCTCCTTCTCAGTTAATTGCAAGTAATAAACTTCCAGATTGCAGCAAAGGCCCATATTGTTAGTTAGATATTAACTAACAACACTTTGAATTTTGACCCATTTCTTTTACTCTAGTCTTCAAAGTCATCTGGTTATTTCAGTTTGAAATGTCATTAGCATATTAATCAGGGTTCGATTCTCCTCTTCAGTTAAGTTACTGACATAAGCAATCAGCTCTCAATTTTTAGTGCATTTTATAATCAAGTTCAACCACCTACCATCCTCATTCTTCAGAATGCAAGGCTGTTTTCTCAGTCAGTTATCTGGAATGTCTGATTACCATTTCTTTGACAGAAACTGGCTCTTTTACATCGATGAGTAAGGGCGGTGTAACCTGGGTCTAAATGAGTGGTGGAAAGAAATGAAGACAACAGAGAGAGATGACATATTGTCACATGGATTTTCTGAATGTGTACAAGCTGTTTTCTTTAACAATTTGTGCCTACATTATACGTTTCTTAGCTTATACTACATCTACTAGAACACACTCAGCTGAATTTCTTGACACAGACAAAATTAAAGGACCGTGAGCTTAAAGCTCTGCTGCACATGCACTGGCAGATAGCTTATTCATAAACTAAAGATTCAGCAATACCATAAATGCATTCTACCGAAGAGGCGGAGACAGTGTTCAGCTCCTGCTGTATCTTTTGAGGAGTCTTTTATCTTTAGCAAGGCATGCAAGAGAACAGTATTCATCTGTGAACTGAGATCCCATCTTAAACTCTAATCTCCCCAATCATCTTCTCTTCTATCGTGTAATGGAAAATATGAACAACTTGACAGCAGCCTGCATGACAAAAAATAGTGTTTGTGAATAGTCAAGCCAGATCTAGTGCTGATGATGCAGACATACTAATTAAATAATAGTACAGTAATTCTTTTTGTAAACATCTGCAGACTGAATATTCAGAGTGCTAAAAATAGCACAGTTTTTATGTCTAGTAGTGACCCCTGCTGTTTAAGATAGTTATAGCAATGATAAACACTTCCGGAAGATAAATCAACTGCTTTGGAATCAGCTGCTTTTTTGTGTCCACATGTAACGGAGGCTCTTCCTCAGACGTTAAAGAAGAAAATTTATTTGTATTACTAACACTTAATTACCAGGGTCTTATACAGGGTCTTTCACAGCTTAGTCTTGGAAGCTCTCAGGCAACAACATGCCTCAGGTTCGTATGGGGCAGAAGTCAGTTATAAGGCACGTTCCAGAGCAGTGCTACTATAATGGCAGACTTTTCAGAGTCATCGTATCCTCTCAGCTCTAGCTTTAAGGATATTTTAACACTAGAGGGGAAGTACTGTAGAAATCCATCTTTATTCTATGAATTGATATGGAGAATTTCTTCTTTAAAACTGAAATGTACTTCTGGTACAATTTAAGTTAACAGAATTCCCATTTACCTTGATTATAAACAACGATTTCACTCCAAATGTACCTTTTTATTGCAACGATTACACTACAAATAGCACTTTATAGTCTATATAGATTACCTGAAAATATGGGCATTAAGCATCTTGGGAACAAACGGAAGGGAAAGAACAGTGTTACCCTCCCTCCCTTTTCCTTATTTTGTCTCTCTGGTAAATTATGATTTGATAATATTCATAATAATTTGGTAAATTATGAATTAAATGATTCTGATTAGTTTTTGGTTATTGGCCCAATAAGCCAGGAGAAAAGTGATTTTGCATTCTAATGTTTTCCGTATAATTGCTTGTAACATTTTCTCATGCTTCCATGAGGAAACTCACAATCAGACAGGCATTTCTCCACGACTTGTTTTTCGGAACAGCAGCATGTGTTTTGAAGTGCAGCCTCAATCGATCATACCTGCTGCATTTTTCATTGGCGGACCAAAAGCCCAGAAAGGAGAGAAAAAAAAACCCAAAACAAAAAAGCCCTGGCGTTTTCGGTGAGCCTCCAACTTCCTCCCAGGGTCGTAAATACTAAAGAAAAAGCGCTGGCAAATCTGCCACTTCTGGTTCCTTCAGCAAGACAGCTCTATGCTCTCCAGGGCGACCTGAACCCCTTAGGGGGAGTTCTCACCAGCGCTTTTCCACAGCCACGGATTGGAGGAGAGCCCGGCGCTCCCCGTGGCGGGTAACGGCCGCCTCGGCATCCTCAGCCGCGGGCCCGGCCCCTC